CAATTCTGTCAACTCCGAACACACAAAATCTTTAGACTGGCGCAGAAATTCGGCAACTATTCCCGACTCACCCAGATCGCAAATCGGGGAAAAAATCAGAGAAAAAAGTATAGTCTAGTGTATTCCAGCCTTTGGTCATAACACTATTCTACCTAGAAAAATACTGATAAATATCATGCATTCTATTTGTTTTATTTCCACACAATATTCCATTTTAGATCTGAAAACTGAAACATATTGTATGTATTCAGTACCTCAAAGTCCAGAAGAGCGTCCAGCTGATTCTGAATGATAGGTAGAGTCTTCATCAGCTTTTCTATGCTCATAGTGCGCATCACTCCATCGGTCCTGCGCAGAACATATTGATGGTGTGAGGTTACACATAGTTGAAACTGAAAGGTGTGACCAGTGACCGCAACTGTACACCTTCAAAGGCTGCCGTTTCAAATGTCGCCATTTGTCTTATTTGTCTCATTATGGAATATTTGCCCCTCACCCTCTTTTCATCTTGGTGAAATCAACTGCAACGAGTCTGTAGGACAGAGCCCTCTCGGTCAGATACCTGCTGTAACGTCTAATGTAGATGGACATATCGTAACCTAGAAGAGACGTTCAATGCTTTAGACATACAGATTAAATCTGGTCCATGAATGCACTTATATTGAAGTATTAATTATAAAACATACCTTGTAATGCGCCTTTATCTACGAAGTTATTCAAGTTAAAGAGTGTGCTTCTTGATGCAAGGTACTGGATAAACCTCTGGACGATGAAATGTAAGATACAGACAAGCAAGTGAAGGGGGATCAATAAAGCAAACTGAGTAGAATAAAAACAATAAATGCCTTCCGAAAGAATATAAAAACAATAAATGTTAAGTTTCACAACTACCTGAAAGATTTAATACTTCAAAAATCTTGATAGAATGGCCCTGGCAAGTACTGTTACATTGATTTTGTGACACTCTACGGTCCACTGAGAAAGTGACAAGAAGAAGAAGAATTCAGCCAGCGACTCTTACCTCATTGCCGTACATCATAAGGTGGTGTGTAGTAATGAGAGCTTTAAAGACCACCACCCAGCTTTGATTTGCTGTCCTCTCAAACAATGTGTCAGCCAAGTGAGGTATATTCACGTTCAGCTCATTGGTGCAGTGCATTAGATCTGTGCAAAAACAGGGCAGGAACAATGACTGTACATGATCCAGAACAATTACACTGTGGTTGAATAAGTATGTGGGCCTACTTAATAGATGATATACACTACCAGTTCAAACGTTTGGGGTCAGAAAGATTTTTTTTAAAGAAATTAATACTTACATTATTCAGCAAGAATGATGCTGAAAATTATTTCATATTATTTCAATATGTTCTTGTTTTTACTGTATTTTTGATCAAATAAATGCAGCCTTGGTGAGCATAAGAGAATTTAAGAAATAAGAATTCTTACGGATCCCAAACTTTTGAATGTAGAAAAACAAACATAAAAAATATATACGCTGCCTGGCCAAAAAAAAAAAAAAAACACGCTGTTTGGGATGTGCTGGAGGAGACTTTACAGAGTGCTGGACTCTTGCATTGTCACTACAAAATCTTGACCAAAAATCTTGATGGAAATAATATCACAACATTTATTTTCATCAAGAGGGGCATCAATTGTTGGTCAAGATCTTGTATTGACAATGCAAGAGTCAAGCACTCTGTAAAGTTCTCCTCCAGCACATCCCAAAGACTTTCAATGCATTTAAGGTCTGGACCATTCTTTTACAATTTGAGCCTGATACATTAGGACATTGTCATCCTGGAATATGGCCGTGATGTGTCTTCCTACATGGTTGTTCAAGAAATGAAAAGCTACACACTCTAACAGTTAGGGTTAAAAGAAATGTTCCCAAACATATCACATGCTACAAACATAATAATCACTGAAATAATGATCCAATCATATATTCTTAAATATTTGCCTATTTAAATCCAAACAGCAACTTTATTTTTGGCCAGGCAGTGTATATTTTATGCATATGGAACAGGTCTGGCTATTTCAGCTTTTATGCATTACTAACAGGTGCATAAAAAAAAAAAAAAAAATGTCATCCAATTTACTTAAACGTTTTTAGTAGAATTGGGTGTACCAATGCCCCTGGGTGTACCAATGAATATTAAGTCCATAAAGAAATTATTTATGAGTGAGTCTTGAGAATAGCCTACACAAAGCCCAGACCTGAACCCTTTTGAACACATTTAGGATGAAATGGAAAGCTGACTACGATTCAGAGATGCTCTTCTGGGAGCAAATCCATGCATTCATGTTCCAACATCTAGTGTACAGCCTTCCCAGAAGGATTGAGCAGTTAGTGAGGACTAACTCACTGTTAACACCTAACCAAATGTCCAATAAACAGGTTGTTTTGCTCAAGTGTCCACATCCTTCCGGCCACGTAGATGTAAGGATCTTTTTTTTTCATTCTATAGCTTTGTACAATTTAACCAACAAATTTGGCAAATATTAATTCTAAAGACATTTCATACCTACTTTGTTTATCTGTTGTCTGCATAAGTGGTTCATAATTATATTAAGGTAAACTGCCAGAAATGAGCTGTTTCACCGTAATAGAACAATCCGTAGTTATGCCGGTCTGCTATCTAACATGACATTGCTTGAATAGCGGTTACTCAAAAGTTACACTTGATTTCTCCCTAATTAACTGATAATAAAACCTGTGTCTGTGAATGCTAGCACATATTCAGAGAACACCTGCTACCTTTATTACTTTGAAGGAGGCTGGCAGTTTATTAGATCTGCAGGCTGCTTTCTTTATGTCCCCCGAAGGACATCTGCTCTGGACTCATTAACTGACAGCTTAATTGATAATCTGCTCCATTAATCAACTACACTTATTTATTATTAGTGAACTGAAAAAAGCTCATTTTGACCTGTAAAGGAAGGTGCATCCTCACAATGCTGGGGATGATTTAAAAAAAACTGACCGCAAATACAAATATCAGCCATACCATGCCAAGATTAGCAATAGTATTTCGATTTCAGAATCAAATATCTCCGTCATTGTGACTCACATCTGTAAATAGGCTATAAATATCTACAATGACTTTTTTTTTTTGCATTAACCTATATTTAACAAATGTCTACTTTAACAAATGGAACACATCATATGTTCAGATAAAACAGATTAAGGTGATGCAATATGATAAGCTACAAACATCACTGCATTGATACTGCTGTCACCTTCAATGACTCAGACTATGATAGCAAACACTGTAAGTCAACAATGGAGAAATAGCAACAACACCTTTAAAAACACGAATAACGTTTAAGTCACGAGCAATTTGCCCCTTGCATTGTGTACGCAAGCTAATCTTCATCATGCTATGCCCTTGACATTGTGTGTTTCCTATAAGGAACCAGCCTTAAAATGATTAGTACACGTTGTCTACATAAGACTCTGCGTAATTATTTAATAAGCATCTGGTTGTGATATCTCAAACGTGGCATGCATAATATCAAACTGATTTAAATGTATTTCGAAAAAATAATAAATAAATAAAAACGGTCATGAGGTCCCTGTCGTATGCAAATTGGTCAGTGTGTCAATCACGCATTCTAATCAGCATTACGGGACTGTGAACGTGCCACGGTGACCTTCAGTGAATTGATGAAATGATCTCTATAATGGCTGTCAAGAAATAGACTAATTTACTGTAATTATAGCCAGGTTAGGTTGTAAATAACAGCAAATGATCGGCCAGCAAACAGTGAATCTAAATGGAAGCCGAAGCACAGTGCAAAACACAACGGGTGACATTTCGCTGCGTTTTCCCCCCTGCTTTAACCTACAATCAAGGTGCTTCTTCTTGGGCGCGCTGACTTCGTGCGTAGTGGCCTTGCACACGGCTTTGCTGATGGCAGATCCGGTCATGCTGTGCTGAGCCGCGGCGATCCGGTCCGTGATGGACTGTCCCGACATATTACGATTTTCAATAAATCGTCCCTAAAACAGATCTATTCACTGCAGGGGTGTGTGTGGGAGCCTGCTCCGTGGGTTTAGTCGGTGTTGCGGAGAGCGCTACCCTGATACGAACCGGACACGGGCGAGGATGCTCTGACATTCAGATAACGGCAATCACCGCGCGCTGAAATGATGACAATAATGACAGATCGTGATTTAAATAGGCCTACCCGTTCAGCACGCGCAAAAAGGACACTGTGTTACTCGCTAGCCTCCGGTGTTGCCGGTTAACCATGTAATTGCTGTTTAAACGAAGCGTACTGCGAAAGAAAATGGAGCAAAACCGGTTCAATTGGAGCGTTATTGATGTCTAGCCGCGGAAAATCTCGCCCTGATTCATTGCATGAGCGAAGTAGGTGCATCACGGAATTTGATACCAAGCATCATTTTCCAAATTCCTTCAGCGCGCTTTCGCGTTATATCAGGCTAAATGCACGCGCTGCTGAAAATATGAACTATCAAATGGATATTATATCCCAGTCAGATAGTTGCAGCAGTGGTCCTAAATGTGAAAATTCAGGATCTCGTCGATGACATCTTTGATGAAGCAACAATTCCAATTTCCTATAGTTAACAGTCGGACGCTCCGCGCAAAATGGCAGTATCAGAATCAGGTGACTGGAGAGGGGGGCGATTGGCCTGTGTCAGAATATCTGGGGTGGGCACCTTAAGGTGGAATTTACGCACTGCTTTAAACCCCCTCTGTACATACACAAGAATGCATCAGACGGCCATTTCAGAGTCTTTAATGGTGCGCCTTGCTTCTTTTCATTGCACAAGCCTGGATTGCGCAGGACTACAATAACATATTCAAGAGCTTACATGGAGGAAAAATACCGCATGCTTTATTTTTTAATGCAAGAGGTTGCAGGATAACATTCCTACATACTGGAGCTGTGCATGTATTAAGCCATTCTGTGTGCACATAATCGTTTTTGAATATTATTTAACTGAATCAGTGGCCACTTTTTAAAAAAATAAATATCACATGGTTACAAAGTGTCCACACACAAAACAAGAATAAATGCATATTTGACCTAGACTAAATTAGTACCTGGCTAAAATCATAGAGCATTCACCTGTAAACAGAACACTGATGAGTCAAAGCGTTCAAATCGAAGCGCCACCAACACTGTCTAATTATGTGAGATTTCACGCTATATATAATCAGCACAATCCTTTTTTCACAGTCCCCGCCATTTTGTTGCATTTCTTGTCTCTTGAAGATGAATCTCATTGTTTTGGGTACCGTTAAATGGCTGAGTCCTCTTAAATCTATAACAAACTGCTATATATTTTCAGATCTTTCTCACTGACTTTCATCCTCCTATTCAGAATTTGGAACAGGCCGTGCATCTGCCTCGGACCCGTTCTTTGGTGTTGTTGTTGTACCCGGGGAGGGCCACCACATCTGGGTCTGTGTTGCTGCTGATGCTCTCCTCATGGGTTAAAATGTGATCCACCAGACATTTAGCTGCCGCCTCGATGTTTGTGTTCTCCTTCAGAGGGGAGAAAAGGAAACATAGAGTGTCATTCAGACTAGATCACAAAGCATAACCCTAAATTACAATCACACTCATGAAATATCTACATCACTGTTCAAAGGTTTGGGGTCATTAAGATTTTTTCATGTATTTGAAAGAAGTCTGTTATGCTAAAAAATAATGTAATTTATTCCTGCGATGGCAAAGCTGAATTTTCAGCATCATTACTCCAGTCTTCTGTGTCACATGATCCTTCAAAAATCATTCTAATATGCTGAGTTGGCGCTCAAGAAACTTTTCTTATTCTTCTCAATATACTGTATGTTAAAAATGCTTCACATTTTGGGTGAAAAATGTGATATATACTGTATATTTTTTAGGATTCTTTGGTGAACAGAAATTTATTTGAAATAAGGTTTTGTAAGATTATACGTTTATTAAAGTCTTTACTGTCACTTTTGATCAGTTTAATGCATCCTTGCTGAATAAAACTTCAATTTCTTAAATCAATCTTACTGACCCCAAACTAACGAAATGTAAAAGTCCCAATTGTAAGTCAAATATTATTCTAATGCATATTTATCTGGATATTTCATTCATGTAATACATACATTACACAGAAGACTGGAGTAATGATGCTGAAAATGCACATACATACCTTACATACAAAACGTCTGTAAAGTCCATACGTAAAGAAAGCATCATCTATTCAGCCCAGATCATGTGACATTCACCCGAGGATGAATGCAACAGTTTTATGGCATAACTTTTAGAGCAACTCCAAAGGCCTGTTCACACCAAAAACAATAACTATAAAGATAACAATAAAAATAGAGTTTTAAATATAAAATAAAAGCTGAGTCCACACCACAACTATAACGGCACAGCGAAGCGATATTGTTGGAATCACTTTCAGAACTATTTCTTCCCCCAGAAGATGAATGATAAAAACACTGACAGCCAATCAGAATCAATCCTGCTTTAAGAGCTCAAGCATTTAAAGTGCCAGAGGACATACTGAAGCGTTCGCTTAGAATAAACAGAATGATAGTTATCGTTCATGGTGTGAATGGGCCAGTTTATGGTTGAAAATATATAGGCAAGGCAGTTGTAAACTGCATGATAGAATTTAAAATTGTATTAACAAGTAAAAATGTGGTTGTGGTAATGCACACTCATAATGTGGTTAAGGGTGATCCAGAGTTAAAATATTTCCAACATTATTGTGTAAAGCTATTTATTCCAGGAACCACTTTATAGCCCCATCTGCCTTATGCACAGCATTCTCCTTTTACACAACTGTGTAACTCATTAAAGTGGGGCTATAGATGGTAAACAAAGGCCTTCCTGCTAATGAGCACAATGCATTCTTGCTGTATTTGTTCTAAATGCAAACATACACAACTCCTGATTCTGTATCTGTGAAAATAGAGCAGAACCAATGGATCATCATGAACACAACACCCGTGAAACTACTAAGCAGTTTTTTTGGATTTTCTCATATAGTATGGTCAGATACTCTTGCTTATAGGGTCGCAAAATATACCCCTCACCTTTGCAGAGGTCTCAAACCAGCCCACAAATCCATTCTCTTTGCAGAATGTGTCAAGCTTTGGAATCTGGGAACGCAGCCCCTCACGTGATTGGTCAGACTTGTTGGCTAGAAGCACAGCTGGGACAGGTTTGCCATTGCTGAGAGTGACCTTTATGTCCAGGTCGTCTTTCCATTTCTGCACCGCATCAAACGTGGAGGCTCTGGTCACGTCAAATACTATGAGGGCTCCCACGGCCTCCCGATAGTAAACCCTTGTCATGTTCCCATAGCGCTCCTGTCCTATGACAAATGTGGGATGGCAAACTGGAGGTCAAACATCACTCAGACACAAATAGCATCATGTTTTTAATCATTGAGTGTGTTATTCTTAATAATAAATCCTACAATATAGTCTAAGAACCAATGCATTTATCTGCTGTGTGTGTGTGTGTGTGTGTGTGTGTGTGTGTGTGTGTGTGTGTGTGTGTGTGTGTGTGTGTGTGTGTGTGTGTGTGTGTGTGTGTGTGTGTGTGTGTGTGTGTGTGTGTGTGTGTGAGTGTGACTCTCTAACTCTCATGTGACTTTAGCACGAGTATGAGACTAGCCGAGATGAACACAAGACACATTCCTTCACATTCACACAAGGGAAATCAGTGGGAAGAGATTTCAGAGAGGCAATAGCAATCCTTATTATGATTTGTCATACGAACGAATATTCAAAATAATCTGTTGTCTATATCCATTACTTAAATGCCTTTTTAACAGCACCCTAAGTAATGTAAATGATTGAACATTTTATGAACTAAAGCATATTATGACGCAAAGGAAAAAGTTTAACATTAAAATATAACATTAAACATATTAATGGGATGATGTACCTGCTATGTCCCATAACTGCAGCCGGACTACCGTCTGTTTATCCCAGTGAAGGACTTTAAGAGCAAAATCCACTCCAATAGTCGCGCGATAATGTTGAGAAAATACCTGATGAACGTATCGCTTGATTATTGACGTTTTTCCAACTCCGAGATCTCCGATGACCAGAACTTTGAACAAATTTTCTTTCTGCATGATGACTTAAAAAACAGCAAGTAAACAACCGGATCATAAACGCAGTGACCTACTTTTTGTAAAGTTTGTAGCACATGAGTGCTCTTATGTAGCCTATCACAGCTTATCCATTGATCATTGTTAAAGGATTACAGTTTGTAAGAGGCACGCGCTCTTAAAAAGTTCCTAATGCCCAAAGGTTAGATCAAACCGTTATCATGTTACTTCGAAACGGTGCTCGTCCTTCTTACTATAGCCTATACACAAGCACAGGTTCCTACATGCTTTACCTTCCCATTTAGTTCCAAATATGAGAAAGAAAACAAAGTGGACGTATTCAAAAAATGAATAACACGAATATAAAAGTATAATAATTAAAGTGTTTTTTCTCCAAAAAACTGGTAAAAGCCACGGATGAACTTAGCTTCTTCAGATGCTGTCAAGTATAAAGTGATGATGGAACACCACGCCCATTAAATCACACTGCGTCATAGCCACGCCCCGTCTAAAAAATGTTTGATTAAAATGTATTTTTAGCCCTTTGTGGGAAAAGAATTTGTAATAATAATGTATTTTATACTTTAAACATTTTATATTTTAAAGATATGCCAGACTTGGGGGTTGCAACACTTTCCAATGTAGCATGAAGAGCAGGCTACATATTTTGACTTTTTACATAGTTTTTATTTACATGTTATTTACAATGCCACAAATTTGTGGCATTTAAAATTATTTTAATGTTTATTTATTTTTTAATTTAATGAATAATATGCTTTATTTATTAATTTTCTCTTTTATGCTTCTCGAATTCTTCGATTTATTGTTTGTTTAAAACAATGCCTGGTTATTTGAAGAGGTTTGCAAACTCATATAAAGTGTCTGTTTTTTATTGTTTTAGTGTTAACCTTACATACATATACGGTTTAAGTATTTGTTTCCAATTTACTTTTCTATTAAAATGTTTCCATTTATTTTCAACTCATATTAAAATGCTTACAATGAAATGATGTGGAAGCAGCGGTGATGGGAGCTGGCATATTAATTATTTTGAACAAGTACATGGAAGTGACAGCAGAGATTTGAGACACGGCCAGCAGTGCGTCGCTCCAGCAGTTATTACGGTAATGGTACTGATGAGGGATGAGTCAGGCCATATGATGCTCATGATACTGCCATTTCATCAGCACATTTCCACAAACATCTCTTTATCCCTAATCATTAGATTGACAATATGAATTTACAAAGAATTTATGGGCATTCTGAAAGTAATAGGTCTTAATGCAAACGCCCAAGACGACTATGGTCACTCGTTTGGTCATTTAATGCATATTCAAAGCGCGACTAGTTGCACATTTATCCTCACAAACATTCGGGTGTGCTTGAATGCCTTGCAGGGGAACGTCACGGTGTTACACGCTTTCTGACTGAAAGACGGCTAAGAATATGGGGCTTGCCATCCGCAGACACTGAGAAGCATAACCAAGGTAATAACTACACAACATATTCAATAATATGCATTTATAGAGCGATTTCTCTAAACAAGTGCGATGCTCAACTCGTAGGCCTGCAAGTAGACTATCTACTATGCTTTAGCTAGCTTAAGGGACTCGGTTATGAGACTCGATGTTGTTATGAAATGATTATCGTTCGGTTACTAAAGATGGCGTGTTAAACATTTATTATTATGAAATCGTATTAATTATATTAAAATGTAATTAAAAAAACGCAGGCCCGATAGGCTACTCGTAGCCTACAACTACTGAAAAAAGAAGATTTTATTAGCCTACATTTAGATCGATTTGACCTCAGTTATATGACATTTTGCAAAACCATATATAAATGTATTAGATACTTTGGACTTCCATTCAAATTAATGGTCTCGCATCATATATGTAGTAAGGTAATTATACATAACACCTATTTGAATGATACTCATCCATTTAAAGAAGGAGGCTCAGGCGCTAGTGTTCATTTACATGATCTGATCCATAAAAATGACTTTCAGAATAATAAATAATGTCTTTGAGTTGAATAAAACAAAAAATAAAATTCAAGGATAAGTACATTTTGACAATTCAAATTTTGGGGTGAACTTCCTCCAATTAAGTACATGGTTATTATGTTTACTCAGTGTAATCTATCATTTTGTCTGACAGCATACTGTTATTCCTTGACAGATAAAATAAGATATGGAAGCTATATGGCTGTACCAGTTCCGGCTGATTGTCATTGGCGACTCCACAGTGGGGAAGTCTTGTTTGATCAGACGCTTCACAGAAGGACGTTTTGCACAGGTGTCTGATCCTACTGTTGGCGTAGACTTCTTCTCCCGTCTGGTGGAGATTGAACCAGGCAAACGCATCAAGCTTCAGATCTGGGACACGGCAGGCCAAGAGAGATTCAGGTACATCTGGTGCTATCGCAGCTACATACACTGCCTTGTAGTTGTTTAACGAATTCAAAATGGGAGATTTGTGGCTTTTAATCTATGTTTGTTAGCTTTGAGGCTATTTATATGCTAGTGTACATCTAAACATTGGCAGAAAATCATTTTTTATTGGATAAATGCATTTCAAATGTACAGTATTCCTATTCCAGGGAAACAAGCCAAAAAACATTGATGACTTTTCCTGCACTAAACAAAAATGTGACCAAATACTCTCACAAATGAGAATGCCCCTCCCCCTGCAACCAACCTGCTAACGAAAAACTGGCTATTTTTAAAAGGCACAAGCTATTTATGTCCTGTCCCAACTCCCTTTTTTATTAGGAAACATCATATTGCTTAAGAAGGAAGTTCATTTGGGGATTTTTTATATTTAGGTTTTTATTGATATCCCTAAATGAGCAATACATATATCAATTTTGATAGTAATGATAAAAAGAAAATAACAGTATGTAACCATAATACAGTTGTTTTTTGTGGTTCAATACCAATTACAGTTTTGCATTTATTACTCAGTAAAGTATTTTGTCTAACTAATCCATATTTAAGTTTATGCTTCTTATTACACTCTTCTTACATGAACTAAATAGATAAATAGAGGATGATACACTTGATTCACAAAGTAATTTCATTCCCAATTTGGACTTTTCACTCTTTAAACTGTCATCTCTTTCATCCCTTTTCTTTTCATAGCCTTTATCCACACCCAACCTCTTTTGTACTTATTAAAATTCCTATATGGGGCCTCATTTATATTTTATCCTAAATTCAATGGATTTCATCCTACGTCAAAAGTGAGGAAGAAATTAGGATTTGTAAAAGCAAAAACTTGACATGAAAATATCCTTATGCGTACGACAACTGAAAGCATGCATACAAACTTTTGCGCTCATATACCAATAATTTAAATAATCCAACATTGTTTATTAAAATGTAAAGATAAATAGACAATCAAAATAATATCCATAAATATTATATATAAATATATATATACATACACACTTGCCCAGATGAGAAGCGGGGATGTTTGTGGCCGTTCTGTAGGTGGAGTTGATGTGCTTGTTCTGCCAGGCTTATGTTTAGTTCTGTTCAGTTTGATTCGTTTTTTACACGACACCATTTTTGACTAAAAACTGAAAACTTTTTATGCTTTTTGGGGGAACGTTATTGTCTGTACGCGAAAAACGCAAAAGAAAAACTTCAGTTTTTAGGACATCGTTGTCGTGTGAACATACCCTTGGTTTGGTTTTCCCTGTTACCTTGAACGTGACATGTTCACATCGCACTTGAATTTAAGGTTCATTTATAAACTGATTTATAAAGTAGGATGCAATTAGGAAAAATGTTTGTGTGTATTGATGTTTTATAAATCGTTCCTAACATTTTGGACATGGTCATATGTTCACATTTAGGATCATTCTACTCACGTCTTAATAAAAGGGGTCCCTATTCTCAGTGGAAGAATATAATCCACTCATCCTGCCCATAACCAGAATATCTCCAATTGATTCATTGTTAGTCTTTCTGTCATTTATATTTAATATACTATTCCACTAATTTCCGGAATTTCAGGCTGTAGCCATTTCCCTGTAATATCTTTCTAACAGGTTATCAGCAGAATTCCCATGGAGTATTTCCATGCTAGTTTAACATTATTTTAATAAATCAATTTATTCTTTTGCACATGCTTATGCACAGCCCCTAATGAATTTTTCCCTGTTGTAATGTGCAACGTGTTCTCCCACCTGTCTGATATCGTGTGCTCTTCTCCTCTGTATGTGATCTAGATCTATCACAAGGGCTTATTATCGTAATTCAGTGGGTGGCCTTTTGCTTTTCGACATCACCAACCGGCGCTCCTTCCAAAATGTCCACGAGTGGCTGGAGGAAGCGCGCAGTCACGTGCAGCCGCACAGCATCGTCTTCTTACTGGTCGGCCACAAGTGTGACCTGGAGCCGCAGCGGCAGGTGAGCCAGCAGGAGGCAGAGAAACTGGCAGCCGCTTACGGCATGCGCTACGTGGAGACCTCGGCCCGCGACTCCATAAATGTAGAGAGGGCTTTCACGGAGCTGACGCGCGACATCTTCGAGCTGGTCAAATGTGGTGACATCACCATCCAGGAGGGCTGGGAGGGCGTCAAGAGCGGTTTCGTGCCCAACGTGGTGCATTCGTCCGAGGAGGTGACCAAGAGCGACCGCCGCTGCCTCTGTTGATCAAGAGACTCCTGTCGGCGTATCATGCAAAACCAGTGCTGTCGATCTCCCTCAGCTTGACATTCCCACTACTGCAGCCCCACAAATACTCTCATCCCCTCAATCAATGTTTTCTGCTTTCATGGTTACTTCGAATAAAGTTCTTCTTATTCTCCTAAAAGTCCAAATAATGACTTAAAGATAAGCAAATGTGAATTAACTGGAGCTTTGGCGAGTCTACTCGGTCCACCTGGCAAGATGGAACTTGGAGAACTGAGTTGTGAGAACTGTTTAAGTAAAAGATTGCAGAAACACACTGAACCTTTGGAGCAAAGACAGACCCAATATTTACACCAAAAGTTTATCCAGTAATGATGGATCATGTGAGAGCATGTACAGGAGGACCACACCAATCCAAACGTCCAATTGGACTAAAAAAAAAGCCACTAATGTGTTCAATGAAGATACTCATGATGAATAATAATTTCCTGTAATTCCTTTTTTTTTTATAGAGAATGATGATGCATTAAATTGATCAAAGGTTAAAATATTTCTAAATCCTGTTTTTTGAACCTTCTATTCATCAAAGAATCCTGAAAAACTGCATAATGGTTTCCACAAAAATATTAAGCAGCACAACTATTTCAACAATGATAATAATAAGAAGTGTTTCTTGTGCAGCAAATCAGCATATTATAGTGATTTATGAAGTTCATGTGACACTGAAGACTGGAGTAATGATGCTGCAGCTGAAATAGAAAATAGTTATTTTAAATTGTAATGGTATTTCACAATTACCGATTTTAATGTATTTTTGATCAGTTAAATGCAGCTTTGGTGAGCATGAGACTTATTTCTGACCCCAAACTATTGAATGGTAGTGTATATTGGCTGTTTATTTGGGAGCTTTAATTTCAATAATTAAACCGTTGGGGGAGAAAATCTGAAGCATTGCCTGACAAGAAGCTGACAGATTTCACCTGCAGAGGTCAACAATCACAGGGAATGTGACACGTTCTTCTATCCTTCAGGATTCACCCTTGTGATTTTTTAAATTGTTAAATGATTCAATACGTAAATTTAATGACTAAATCAAAGTAAAGCATTGTAAATGGCTACTTTCAAATCTCGGAGATCAGCTATAAACCTTCCAAAAAACATGCAATTATAGAGAGCCACATTTAAGTTTCCCGCCTTTTTCTCATTTAAAGTGCGTCATGGTATCCCTGGACACTTTTCCAGGGACTTTACCAACATACTTATTTGTAAAGCACTGAAAAATCACGTCCCTATTTTTTTCTGGTAAGGTTCTTCCTAAAGAAGTTCACTCTTTCATAACTGTTGCCTGTCACTTGAGGTTAGTAGCTGCTGAGAAATTTTTTGACTTACAGACTAATAATGTCATTTAGCCGACTGAAATGACTATCAACTGTGTATTTATTGATCTTGTTGGAGAGATAAGATGAACTATCAATAAAATGTGTGACAAAAACTTTCTTTTTTTTTTGCTTTGAATCCAAACAGTTGTTTTGTGAAACATTTTATTTTAAAAAAGAGAAAAAACATGAACAGAATCTTTATAATACAGCTCATTTTCTTTGTACATGGCATGAATATTTACAGTTTAAAAAACCCAAGGACAAACAAAATATATAAATTCATATACTGATAAACAAACACTGCAAGTGTAGCTCTCTAAGGCAAATGACTTGGTCTATATCTACCAACCATCTTTTAGATACATGTGAAACTTCAGGCACCGATCTACAGGAGAAATGCATCTCCAAATCTGAATCCAAACTAATGCCTGGGATCAGATACCAATGCGTTTACATGCTAAACTTTACATGTCTGGTACATAAACAAAACAATTTTCAGCTGATTGTGAAACACAAATATAATAGTAAAGCTATACAAAAATATGCTTCTAATCAAGTCAGAATGTTAATATATTAAAGACAAGAAATGGGTTTACAAATAGTGGTTTAAAACAACTTCTATTCTATTGTTCTGTCCTGTAGACAAACCTCCATTGCTCTCTGATTATCTGAATACAATTAAGTTACACAAAATATGTTTTTGCACAACCAAAAAAAAAAAAAAAAAACGGCTGAAAAAAAGGTGCTGAATTTCAGCATCCCGGATGAATAAAATATTCATATTATAATATATCAAAAAGGTATGAAGAGAGTACAAGATAATTGACAAGTTTGAGTAATCGTAAACTAGTATTCGACTACATTACAAATTCTCTACAATAAAGAACAAAAGTAGATAAAGGTACATGAGCTCAACAGCCAAGCTGCCAAGATCAAGTTTCAATGGAAACTAAAACAAAAACAAAACAAATCTGGTGAAAAATACTGACACTTATTTCTCAAGTATCTACACCTTCAGATAGGAAAGAAAGGCTTGTTTCTTTAGGTATTCAGTCTTCAGGCAAGTTTAGGTTTAACCCTTGACCTGTGAGTTGGTTATTATTGCAGACTAACCTTACTAACAAAGTTAGCACTGTAACGGTAGTTTCTGCTCAAATATCACAGCTAATACTGTTCAAAATAAAAGATCAATATGGGATGTCCTTCAAACAATATAAGTAGCTTTCAGAATCTTTCAAGTCGTGGCGGTTTCAATCAAAGTACTAGTTTTTAAGGATAACCGTAGATACACTAAGGTTCAAAAGTTTTTGAAAAGAAAGAAGTCTCTTATTCTCACAAAGGCTGTATTTACTGTCACTTTTGATCAATTTGATGCATGTTCTTTAAAAAAAAAAATCCAAACTTTTGAACGGTAGTGCAAAATAGTTTTGGCAGAAACAGCAGTTATCAAGGAACTTTTTGTAAGCATCGTCTGGAAATACAATAACTGTTATACGTTTATACTGCTTAAGTAAAATCATCAAGTTTAAGGAAGTCGTATGGATGGGTAAACTATACATGTTCATATAAACCCCCCCAAAATAATTTAGTATTTTGTAAAACTGAACAATTTCTGGCGCAACCTCATGGTCCATTCAAAACTCTCACACTTTAAAAAGCTATCAATTTATACCACAACACCCAATATCATTATCCCAACATACAGCAGGGCTAATACCACTCTGTCATTCTTAGGAAATGGAAAACCGTTTTTCTCTTACATTCAACTCTCATACACATGGGATTTTATAATGTCCAATAACACTTTTTTTTCAGTTTCAATTCTTCAACCTGACAGTAACAAATGACCACCGATACTCTCTTGCCATTTTCACATTCTGCACGGTGAACACTAGGGGTCCCTGTTGTAATTCAGGACCTCATGCTGAAAAACCAGGAGGCAGAAGGAGACCATTTTGGATTCAGAATCCAAATGCTTTAGTTTAGAGCACAAACAATGTGCTTGGAGCTCGAACACGAAAAACAAAAATACCCTTTACACAGTCAGCTCATTGTCCGCCAGACAATATAGCCATAACAGTACTAGTGATTACAGCAGCAGACACAGGGACATTTAAACCAGCATCTACAGTACTGAAGCGCCAAAGCTGCACGACGACCTCTAACGGAAAACTCTTAGGGATTTTCTAAGAGGACCCTGATAATTTTGAGAGGATGAGAAATCCTTTTTTCAATTGAGATGTTTGGGGCAGTCTCTTCAATAAATGAGGCATGATTTTCACATCAAATATAGACTTTAACGAACATTTATATGCCCGTCGTTCTCTCTCCCTATCAAGGGGAAATGCCCTCCACTTCACTCTCTTCAACGCCTAGATATATGGGGCTTTTGTTCTGAAGGGCTGGCTCGTATTTTCGGAGGGAGCTGTTCATGGCCTCTGTGCTGTTCCGGATACCATAGCCGAAGTAGATTACGAAACCTGGGAATGGACACGAGAGAAGAAATGGGAGGTTTGGAACGAAGGAAACAAACATGGCGCTATCACACAACAGATGTACTCACCGATGCCCATCCACACAGAGAAGCGGCACCAGGTGGCCATGTCCAGCTGCATCATGAGATAGATGTTGACAAAGATACTGAACAGAGGCAGCCAAGGTAACAGAGGCACCTGCACACAGAAAGATTTACATTTAAAGGGATAGTTCACCCAAAAATGGAAATTCTGTCATCATTTACTCACCCTCATGTTGTTCCAAACCCTTATGACTTTTGTTCATCTTCGGAACACAAATGAAGGTATTTTTAATGAAATCTGAAGAATCCTGTCCCTCCACTGACAGTCTACGCAACTACCACTTTGACCCTTCAAAAAGGTCATAAAGTGATTGTAAGACTAATCCATATGAATCGAGCGGTTTAGTCCACATTTTATTAAGAGTCGCTTTATTTAATTAATTAAGAGATTTAATTTAGGCTTTTATTCACATATAAACAAACATTGAACAACACACATTAGTTATGGTAAACGGAAGCTCAAGCATGTTCGCTTGACGTGCAAGAACCAATGAGGTTCATTCTCATGTGTTACGCAGCACGTTTGAGCTTCTGCAAGAACCAATGAGCTTTGTTTTCGTCCATCAAGCAGGTTCGGTTGAGCTTCTGTATATGTTCGCTGATCAGGGTTTATATGTGAATAAAAGCCTAAATTCAATCTGTTCATCATATAAAGCGATCGAGTCTCTTCAGAAAATTGGATTAATTTTATGATATCTTTATGAACCTTTTGAAGCGTCAAATTGGTAGTTGCGTAGACTTGATTTGGAATGACACGTCATCTCTAAATGATGACAGAATTTTCATTTTTTCAGTGCTCTATGCATGTTGGCTGATCAATGTTTATATGTGAATGAAAGCCTAAATTAAATCTGTTAACCATATAAAGTGATTGTGTCTCTTTAGAAGACTTTAAACCGCTAGATTCACATGGATCTATTTTATGATCTCTTTATGAACACTTTGAACTGCCAGATTTTTGGGTGAATAGACATTTAATGGAGGTACAGAAAGCTCTCAGATTTCATAAAAAAATATCATCAGCTGTGTTTCGAAGATGAACGAAATTCTTATGGGTCTGGAACAACATGAGAGTGAGCAATTCATCATTTTTGGATGAACTAACACTTTGAGGCTGAACAAATTTTAAAACACTAGGCATCATACATCAGAGTCTGTGACTTTTGGCAATTAGCGTCAACTCATCCAGGCTGTAAATTAGGGCAAAAATATGGGCAAAAGTAATGTACTGTATTCCAGCCTTTAAAAGAGTGTAAGTATTTGGTGTTCAGCTGAAGAAAGAGAGTTATACAGGTTTGGAATGACATCAGGGTGAATAAATGCTGCCAAACCCTCATTTTTGGGTGAACTCTCCCTTATTTGTATTTGTGTTCTAATAGCGCATTTCCTTTTACGCAAGTTCAGTACTTACGTTCAAGCCCGGGCAAAGATTTATGGCATAATAAAAAGGCAAATTCAATAACAAGGACATCTGGTACCTTGAAGGTGAGAGCTTCCTTGCTCTCAGGCTGCCTACAGATCACAATGACACACAGGATGCACAGCAGGACCAGAATGACACACGTCATCACCCACACAATCTCAAGATTCACGATGGCTTCCAGACGCAGAGCCAATACCACACACAGCGCGGTGATCAGCGCAGCTACGCAGACAAGAGGATATTGGAATTAGTCCATAATCAGCTCAGCTCATTATCTATATCACTGAATCAGATAAATACAAATAACACAGATACAAATGTAGAACCGGGTACAGTGTAAATACACTACCATTCAAAAGTTTGGGTATTTTATCATGTTCTTGAAACAAGTATTTTTTGCTCACCAAGGCTGCATTTATTTGATGAAAGAGTAAAACGGAAATATTGCGAATATTATTACAATTTAAAATAACAGTTTTCAGTTTTAATATATTTCCTATGATGGCAAAGCTGAATTTCATCAGAAATCATTGTAATATAGCTTATTTGGTGCTCAAGACAAAAATTTATTAGCAATGTTGAAAACAGTATTTTTGTGGAAACCATGATACATTTTTATTTTTCAGAATTCTTTGATGAATAGAAAGTTCAAAAGAACAGCATTTATTTAAAATAGAAATATTTGTAACATTAAATGTCTTTACTGTGGCTTCATTTGTTTAATGTGTCTTCGCTGAATAAAATATTAATTTCTTAAATTTTTTTTTTTTTTTACTTTGTGACCACAAACTTTTGAATGGTAGTGTTTATTTCTAGCACAAATTCACACACCAGAAATGCACAATACATCTCTACCGTATCTTTTTTTTTTTTGCATGCTCAATTCCTGCATTTTTACATTTAGATTTTGTTTTTTTCGTTTTGAGAAAGCTCACTCAAGTTAATATTTAAAAAACACTAATGATTTAATAACACTTAAATGTAATCTTTAGCAAATATCAAAATGGATATCCATTTTCATTCTGTACATTATAATGTTGTGATGCTTCAATCCACTTGTACCATATAAAACGACTGGTTTTAATTTTGTAGTGTTTTTATTTATTTAGACTAACTCACACTTTTATAGTGCTTTTTTTTTTAGGGGGTGGGACAACTATACCTTTAATAGTAGCTAGATTTATCAAGAAGTGACAAGCAAAATCTTCACTCACAGATAACAGCAGTTGTGCCGTAGACGATAGTTCCCGACATTTCGGTTGGCAAGTCCTTGGAGGGAACCAGGAGGAGTTTCAGGGAGAATTTCTCTTTGCGGGAATTGTCATCCAGCTCTGTGCCATATTCATCTCCACTGTCTCCACATACGGCCACTTTCTCGCCACCGACCAGTTCCACCAGTTTCTCAGTCTGACTGGAAGAGCTCAGGTTGCCTGGCTGATATCTAGAGACAAAAAGTTTGGCAGTGAGTCAAACTACATACAGCAAACCCACAACATGCAGCACTGTCAATCATTTTACATACAATAACATTCAAATGTTTGGAGTCAGCAAGATTTTTTGAAAGAAAAAATACTTCTGTTCAGCAAGAATGCGATAAACTGATCAAGTGACAGTAAAGACATTTATAATGTTACAAAAGATTTCTATTTCAAATAAATGCTGTTCTTCTTAACTTTCTATTCATCACAGAATCCTGAAAAAACACAGTTTCCACCAAAAAATATAATATAATTATAATTGTGTTTCTGGAGCACCAAATCAGCACATTACAATGATTTTTTCCTTCGGAAATAAATTGCATTTTAAAACCCAAAACAGTTATACTGTTTTTGCTGTATTTTTGATTAAATAAATCCTGCCTTGGTGAGCATAAGTGACTTCTCCGACCCCAAACTTTTGAACAATAATGTACGAAAAAATTAGCCAAACATAACAGAGGCAATTTGCATATAGGAGTCTTAAAGGAACTGTAGCAAAAATATTTTTTAGAGTGGAAAATAGTCATGTAAAAATAAAATAATGCAAGTTTTGGGATTTAACGTTATATATTCACAGGGAAACATTATTTTACAACATGACCTCTCTAAAAACTTTATACAGTATATAATAGTAGACCCATTGTTTAGTATTTGTGGAGCAGGTTTTACCGTACCTGAGAATGAGGACACACACGGCCACCAGAGAGTATGCAAGCAATGTTCCTATGGACATGAGGTCAACCAATGCAGCCAAATCAAACAGAAATGCCATGAGAGCTAAATGAAGACAAAACAAACAGGTTTCAAAACATATCCAGCCATAACATTTCAAATCTTACATAACACCATCCACCACCTTTAAGAGATCAAATGCCAGATCCTAACCAGATAAAAGCTATTGCTACCATGTAAGTTTTTATTCAGTAGCAGCCGTGACAACACACTCTTCTCACATATTTCTGCAGTGTTGCACTGGGTGGCCCCGCCCACAGCGAAATCTCATAGGTCCAAAATCCACATAACTGTATATTATGTTCTGATTGGCTGTGGTTGTGCTGCATCTCTAACAAAAATTATGAGACGCCTGTAATTTGTGCAAATTTAGGACATGCTGGAACACAAACCAATAAAGAACAAAGAACGTCACTCACATGCTACTATTCCAGACACAGCAGTCGCCAGCAGTGGAGTTCTGGTTCTCTTGTTCATCCTGGAAAGGGAACGGAAGAGCAGTCCGTCCTCTGCCATAGCGTAGATCACTCGAGGCATGGGGAACATGGAGCCCAACAAGCTACGATAAAAAAATGAAATAAAAATAAAAACAAATTCAGATAAATGGAAAATGTTGAACGAAAACATTACAAGACAATCAGAAAAGTCCTTGAGTTACCTTGTTGAGAGGGCACAGAGTGAACCCACAGCTACAATATAGCGTGCCGGTGCCCAGCCCACGTAACTGAAGGCCTCGGGCAGGGGACTCTGGGTGTTGAGTTTGTAATAGGGCATCATGAGAGTAAGAGCAGCTGACACACCAAAGTAAGCAAAGAAGCAAATGAGCAGAGAGGCCACGATTCCCACAGGGATGGAGCGCATTGGGTTCTTGGCTTCCTCACCTGCCGGAAAAAAATCAGGTTAAATCGAACCACATACATTATGACTCACTCCAGTCCGCAGATGGCTTTAGGAGAAACAAAAACAAAATGTTCAGCAATCAGTATTCGTGCTCTAAAACTGCAACATTTATGAGACGTACTTGTTGTAGCAATGCAATCAAAGCCAACAAAGGCGTAGAAACAGGTGGCTGCGCCAGATAAGACGCCACTGAAGCCGAACGGAGCGAAACCTCCACTTCCAAATATCCTTTCTACCCGTCTGTGAGAACAGAATAGATTTGTCAAATCTTGTGCAAGAAAATCACATTATCCACCTCTCACAACTGGAAGAGATCCTCATTTGCTCCACTTTAAAAGCAGCAGCTTGTGGCTGAAACATTGAGCTGGATTTTTTCATCTCAAACTTACTCTGGTTCTGTAATATTTGTATCATTGACAAAGTCTTGATATGTGAGGTTCCAGTTTGCTGTGTTGCCTTTGACAAAGCCAGAGATGATGACAAAGCCCAGCACAATCAGGTTGATCCCAGTGAAGATCTTGTTCACCAGAGCAGACTCGCTTACACCAAAAGCAAGCAGTCCTGAGGAGGAAATTGCTTGTTTAATAATTTACATTTTAGTTTGTTTTTTTACTCACATGTATACAGGTATACAGATAGACAGGTATAAAAGGCACTAATTAAACCGTAAACTTTATTTGTTAAATATCAAAGATTATTAAAATGTACATTTCCATTTTTTACCCGTTATTTTTTCATCATCTAATGCTCACTTAAAGTTAGTATTTAACACTTAAATTGAACAATCTTTCATTTAAATAACAATGTTAAATGTAATATTTAGCCAATCTCCAAATGAAATATCCAGCATTTAAAACAATTGATTTTTTATTTATTTATTCACACAAAATAGTGTCGAATTTAAATCAATAACTTATTGGTTATCGGCTATAAAATATTATTCTTGGCTTATGGGTTTTAGCCAGAATTTGAATATCGGTGGATCCCTAATCATAATTAGTTTTTGTTTATCTCTGCTTTTCTGGTAGTTAAAAAAAGATGAGCACAGTTAATGATGAAAATCCTTGCCTCGTTTAAATAATGATTTCTGTTTTTAAATTTCTCACCAGTCAGTAGCAGGATGAGAATGAGGGCAAATAGGTCCGGATATTCCGCAAGAACCTTCCCAGGAACCTTCATGGCCATGGAAGCCCTGAAGAAGTTCGAGATCTTCTGCTCGATTAAGTTATCGAACGTAGAGCTCCAAGCTCGCGCCACACTAGCTGTGCCTGAAAACAAGAGCCAGCTTTTGTATTTCAGTTACAGTTACAGTGGATTTCTTTAAGATGATCATCAACAAGTACAGTACACGTACCTATAACATAAGAGAGGATGAGGTTCCAACCAGTGATGAAGGCCCAGATTTCTCCCACTGTTACATAGCTGTACAAGTAAGCAGACCCTGTCTTAGGGACTCGTGCACCGAATTCTGCATAGCACAGTCCAGCAAGCATAGAGGAAAGTGCGGCCACAAGGAAGCATAAGACGATAGCAGGACCAGCCTTCTCTCTCGCAACCTCCCCAGCCAGCACATACACTCCAGCGCCAAGTGTGGAGCCCACCCCGAGTGCCACCAGATCAAGAGTGGACAGACACCGAGCGAACCGCGTTTCCTCCCCAGAGCAGTTCAGAGCACGACGGCGCAGCAGCGCGTGTCCAAACGAGGCAATTTTGTCCACCATGGTTAATGTGGAATGAGGTGTCAAATCTGGTAAGGTTCTTTGTTGTGCTGGTTCCTAGGAGCCCTCTTTTACTTATGTCTGAAAGAGCACATAAAACAGGAAGGAATAGTTAGAAACATTTGGGGTGTGTCTGTGTGGGAGTCATTGCCCAAGCCAGTATGGCTAGGTTTGATCTAACCAGTCTAGTCAGGACATAGTCCAATTTTCTTTCTCATAATTCCTACCGCACAAGGAACTATACAGCTGCCCAGAATTCTCAGAGGAAGAGTTCCGTGTATAAAAGTGGAATTTACTACACACTGATGACTGATCCAGTAAAGAAGTGTTCCTGGAGGAAAGGTCAGGCAAAAAACGTTATGAAATGAATGCGGAAGTTTTGTCCACAATCAAGACTGTATCTGATATGATTAACAAAAGTGAAAAATAATGACAAAGACAACATCAAGCGATAGAGGACAAAAAGTGTCAAATTTACATTCATTTTTTCATATATATTTTTAAAAATAACACACTACCGTACCATTGTGAAATATTATTACATTCGGATACATTTCTTATTATTATCAATGATGAAAACGATTGTGGAAACGGTCATATATTTTTTCAAGATTCTTTGTAGAAAATTCTAAAGAGCAGCATTTATTTAAAATGAGAATAATTTGTAATATTATAAATATAAATATTCTTCACTCGCTGTTACTTTCAAATCAATTTATTGCATACTTGCTGAATAACCGTAATCGTTATTGCCTTGATAAGAAAATTTGGCCGATATATTATGAATTATTTCCTTTAGCTGAGACACTTCAGATGCACACTGTTCACCATCATGGTTTTGATTTGCTTGAAATATGATTGAACTGACTTCAAAATACAGTTAAGTGCAACACAAGTCTGTCATGAGAACATTATAATTGTGTGCTTGGGACATGGCTTTTAATGGTGAGACTTGTAATCAGGCTCTCAAAAATTATATAACAACTTGGATTTGGATTTATCAGCCAATATATCAGTTATTGGCTTTCAAATATAAAGAATTATTTTGGTATCAAGTTCAACCAAAATGTTCATATTGGTGCATCCCTAGAGGTTTTATGCTATGATAGAAGTTCTGTACAAGCCACAAATCAGAGTGATTTAAAATATATTTAAAACACACAAACTCATATTTAAAGTGAAGACCTACACTACTCACAATCCTGAAATGCTTTGGAACTCCCAATCAGACCATAGAATAAAAGAACCATGACAAAAGAGCTCAACAGTGAACTCCCTTTCTCATGAAATACTGCAAAAAAAGTAATGCTGTGATCCAAAGCTCAGAACTCTTTTGTAAGAATATCCCTATGGAGAAAATAAACGGCATAGACACATCCGCAACCAAGACTGTTGTAAAAGCGTGCATACAAAATCCAGTCATTTCAATAGGAATCAATCCACACGATTGAGAATTTTGCGCAAAGGCGAAATATTTACCTTAGATTTTGCAACGGGTTTAAGTTGGTCACGTGGATTTGCTGCATTGACCAACAGAAAGCTGCTTGGTTCGGAAGTGACTTCTCCAGGAGCAGTGCTTTATACATCACTAGATTCGCTACACTATTGACAATACACAATGGACCCTGAAATTGATTCATTTTTAAATGAGTCAGTGTCAATTGTATTCTTTAGACTTCAGCTCGCCTACACAAAAACCTGCTGTAGCTCAATTATTACTACATGTAAACTGACTGTTGCACTCTACCAACAAGATCCACAATGTTCTGTGTGAACCCGTATCATATTGACCCGCTCGACTCCTTATCGGAGCTGTCTGATTCCAAAGCACTCCTGCTAGCTCATCAGGTTACATGGTCATGTTTATGTCTGAGCCAGCAGTAGTACTGTAGTACACTGTTGACGTTCCTTGCAGTTCTTTACCTAGGACATCATTCTCACTGGTGACGTTTACAGTGATGTCTAACAGAAATGATTTGGAAACACAAGCACGAACAAGGTCACAACAAAACCTTGAGTTGTAACAACAGCTATCAAAACCAAACACTGATGCAATGACAGTGAAGAAAGTTGGAACATGGAGCAACTGTTGATTGCAACTGCAATTGTTGATCCGATCTTACATTTCACACACACTGCCATGACGATTTGACTTCCTATCCCACGACGGAGATCAATTACTTAACAATTATAAAAAAAACTTGTCACAAAAACAGCAAAACTAGAACAATGAAATCGCTAAAAATGGCTTTATGAAAGTTGTGGAAATACTCGCAAAGAATCCTGTGTCCTGGATCAAAGACAGGTTTGACAAAGAGGACAGAGGAGTAGGGGGAGGGGAGGGGGGAACAAAAACATCCCTGTAATTCACTGTACAATAGAGGGGCTGAAATAGACTCTTTTTATCTGTAAGGTGGTTTGTTTCACTTGGCACAGCAGCTGGCAAGATTCTTAGCGGGTTGAATCAAGCTCAGTCCGGGCAACAGCTCAGAACTTTAAGCCACAGTGGTCTTACACAACGCACACACAATGGCTGCTTTCTTTCACTACTCACTGCTTTTTGTTTTCATGAAATGAATATACGTATACAGCATAGTAATGTGGCAATGATATATCTAGCAGTTGAGAAAGTCTGGAATTGTGTCTTCCTTTGTACCAGGTAACTTGGAGAGTTGACCAGTTGTAGAGGTTATAGTGTGCTTCGATATCAGTTGCCTTGAAAATGTTCCCCAAATCCCTACCAGGAGATACTTTTTGGGCCGTACAGTGCACACACATCTATGATAGGCCACAGCGAGGGCGGCATTACTAATCTCTTTCTTGTGGTCTCCACGAGGTATGGGTGACACGTAGGCGAAATTAAATCTGTAAGGCTTTTGATCTGGCCATGAGAAATTCATGAATGCCATGACGCCTGTTATCCTGAGGAAACTGGCACACCAACGAGACCTACACATTTTATTGTAACATTCCGATTTGGCTTCACTTGACGTGGGTGAATGAAATATATGACTTTTTCCATAATCTAGTTTGTAATTATTTACTAGAAACATCGAAACTTAAATGTCATGTTGTGTAGTGATCAAAAAGAAATGCATATATTTACCTAACCAGTGTTATTTTAGTATTGCTTATGATTATAGTATTTATGAACATTTCGAAATGACTCAAACATCCAAGGTTGATTGTACTTAAAAATCGAAGGCAGCACCTTTGTAACAAATTAATAGCTGGGACAAAAAAATAAGCATAATGTCATTGACCTACTTTAGTTTGAACACTAGAAGTGCAAGCTAGTAGCAACAATGTTGATCAATGAATGCACAGACTTATTCATGAGGAAACAGCGCTCATCATGTCTATTAAGGGTTTATGTAACCCATTAATGAGTGAGATGTTAAGTGTTTTGAAGTGACTCACTGGGCTTTTCTCAAAATAAATACCTCAACTGGATTCTAAGAGGCTTACATAAAGACCCGCCAACTGGTTAACCTTCTTAACAGGAGGAGAGTAAGGACTTCTATTGGTTTACATTAGGTGTTGTTTTTGTTATCTTTTCCGCAGAACGGATTTTGTACTGCTGCAACTCAGTAAATGTGTTTGCCCAACATCTGAACTTTCAAAACAAACCCCACTAACCCCCTATTCAAGGTTTAATCAGAACAATTTCCCTAAAAAAATTAAACTGGCCAATTACATACTCTAAACCATCTGTGACATGATTGATGATACATTTGACCATTGAGAGATATTAAAGGCCTATTCAGTCTTATTACTGTTGTTACTCCTCATGACGGGATTTGCAAAATCCTTGTAGGAACAATCATTCCCAGGCTCAGGTTCTTAGTAAATCAGGGTCAGTATTACTTTTTGATCAATCTAATCACGTTGTATTTGATTTAGCAGACTGATAAGACCTATAAGCATGAAATGATATCTGTGGGTAAATGGACATTTCATAGTCTACATGCGGTGCATATAAACACAGAACTGGAATATATATCTTCTCGCGCCAAACAACAAGATATGCCGCTGAGGAAGGAGATACTACGAAACTGTTGAAGGATCCACAGGATCCACTGGACACCGGTGCCATATTACAAGCAGAAACCAGCATGAGAGCTTCATTCTTCGAGAGAACTAAACTGTTCATGGTTATGAAACGGACTTTTTTAGGCACATGGCGCTGTGAATGAACCTGGGAACCTCTCACATAGCTGGCTTAATGCCATCACACAGCCCGCTTTAACAAGGCTCCACAGATGCAAAATAACAGCCAGAGATGCTTCATCATATACTGAACAAGCTTGAGGTTTTCACTATTATGAACATAATCGTTAACTTACAAAAATTTTTTTACAAAAGAAATGCTAATGTGTTTCAGTCGACTTGATTTTGTCTATTAGGAATTGATTGGATGGATGGTTAGCTAATGCTGTGATCTTGTGTGAGTAAGTTCACAAACTTGTTTCTCAGAAATACAACACAATAGCCAGTTATTCTACTTTGAAATATGCGCTGCGCTCCTTGTCGGAATGTCTGTTTTTGTTTCGGTGTGTGTAATTCCACCCAGTACTAAATTACTAGGGCTGGGCAAAAATATTTGATTTTTCAACTTATCGTTTTTTCAAAACGTGGCCAATTCAATATCGATTCACAAAGGCCAAGAATCGATTTTTTTCCATTTTTATTTATTCAACATCCAAAAGCCAGTATTAGTTTTCCTACACTGTTCATAGGCTTGTATGTCAATGTTACAGCTAATGATGTGAGATTTGATAGCCTGACTTCGTCATACTCATATTCTAGTCAGAATGTGAGTCTGATACTGCTCCATAGGGCTTTGAGGCGTGTCTTAACCAAACCAGAAAAAAACAAAACTCTGCACTCAATTGGATTGACCTACAACCAATCAGAGCAACGCAGTAAGTGTTTTTTTTTATGAGCTACGCAAAGTTGTCAACAACAGAACTCAACTACGCTGGAAGAAGTAGTAAAATAATGAGTGTTGCTTCTTTTACTTGGTCCTCCATGAGTGCGACAAAAGGAGAAACCACAACAACCACAGGGTTTTCATTGCA